CCGGCGCTACTCTGGGTGACAAACGACACCGTGATACCTGATCGTCATCCTGCGGGTGATCTTTATTTGATAGAGTCCAGACAGGTCGGGTGCATCCGCTCCCACAATTAACGTATTGGTGGCGCGCAAACACAATCGTTTCCTTCTAGGTGTCAGCACAGCAGGTACACTGAGTCGGCTTCTACATTTTCCGTTTGGAAATATTTCGCATTAGAATTCGGGAAACAAATAACCGCCGTGGAATTTCCATTTACGCCACCCGTGAACCATCCTTAAATTTGAGTGTTGTAATCAGCAAATAATTTGACCGGAATGCGCGGCGGATGCCGGTTACAACAGCCGCAAAGGCGCCGGCCCTTATCTGCTCTTCATCGGCGTGGTTTCTTAATTACCCGGTTGATGCTGGTTTTATTTTTTGCTTTTGTGTTGATCAGTTTAATTTTGCTTTCTCATTTCGTGGATTGGTTCGTGTGGTAAATTGATTCGCTAATAACAGCGAAATTTATTAAAAACATTATTGAAATCGATGATCATTTAATTCCCAAAATCACCAATAATTAGGAGAAGATAAATTATAAATTTGCGATTAATTTTTTTTAGCAGTTTATTAATTTAAAATTGTAATCAAATTTTAATAATTTAATTTTTTTATACCTTTTTTACCAGAATTTTTCACAAGTTGTTACGCAATGAATCCCACTTTGACTTATTGATCGCCGGTGAAGAGGTAAAAATGCCCTTATATTTCTTGCCCCTCTCCACCAGTTTGAAATGCGAGCTCTTCTCGTGGCCCGCAACGTGAACAGATGAACATCAAGAAAGAACCGATTACTGCCATCGCAAAGCCGTAAAGGTCATCCACACCCTTACTATCCTGCAAACACTTTTATCTCTGCAACGACGAAATGCCGGTAAAATTTGTCTATATCTTATGTCTTTAAATCAACTACCAACACTGCGAGAATTTAATGTACATATGTTTACGTGGAAATAATCGAACGTTACATTATCATTATTATTATTATTATTCATCAAGTGTGTTTTGTGATTCAGTAGCTACTCGGATTTATTCGCAGCACACACGCCATCAGCCGCCACTTAAATGCCCATTCCGCTGCGCAACGCTCATCAGCGCCTAAATCATCAAAATTAGCGAACACGGCCAACAAGCGAATATTCAGCAAATTAATCGACCAATGGCAACGAGTAAACCCGGCAAAATGATTAAAAAATGCCAATTAGCAGGCGTGCCAGGAGACGGCCGTCTGCGGCGGCAGAGGGACGCCGTAGGCCGGGGCAGCGGGACCGTGGGTCAGGCGGGGGAGGGGGCCGACACACCCACCCCGACCGAGGGGGGGGGCGGGTACCGGGGAACGTTATCGCCGGGCCGACCGCCTACAAAAATATTCAGCAAAATCAGCAAAATATTCAGGAAAAATCAGCAAAATATTCAGAAAAGTCCGTAAATGTTTCAGAAAAAAATTGGCTACGTATTCTTAAAAGTAGCAAAATATCCAGAAAAATTATCAGAATATCCAGAAAAATTAGCAGAATATTCAGAAAAATTAGCAGAATATTCAGAAAAAATTAGCAAAATATTCAGGAAAATCATGCAACAGAAAACTGAGAAAAATTATTAGTATTCAGAAAAGAATTAGCAGAATATTCCGAGAAACATTTCTGTCGATGCACAGCACGTTTCCCAGACTAACCATGGTGGGCGCTGCGGGGGGTGGCACGTCCAGCATCGGCGGCCAGGAAGGCGGGGCGGCGGTCACCGCGGGGTAGCCGAGCAGACTGGCCAGCGGCACAACCGCGGGGGTCGTCATGGGCGTGGTCGGGAGGGAGGAGGTGGGCTCAAAGGGCTTCTTCACGCTGCTCTCCCTAAGAAACAACGTCAACACAAATCAGATAACGTACTCAAATCAAATCACGTACGGTGACGTACCACAGTTACCAGTAATTTGTAATTTATTTATTATTGATTTAGTTAAGTACTTCTACTGAAAATTAACGAAACAAAAAATTATATTCACAGTACTTTACAATACTGATATCGAAAATGGTAAACTCCCACTTGAAAAATCCAAACAAATAAACAACAGCCGAATCAAACAATGATAATCAAATAAATAAATCAAATGCAGTGAAAACTGTCTTTAAAAAAAAACAGTAAGTGAATTATAAAAGGTATAATATATTGCCAGACTAACGCTCATCTGCCCAACAACATCAGTCAATTTAAAAAAGTACAATAATCAAGAAAAATATTTTTAAAAAACTGTAATAAAATTTTAATTAAATTAAACTAGCAATAAAACTCCATAAAAATTTATCTAATCGAATTAGTAATAAAATAATAATTAAACTGAGCCAATAATAATACCATACAAAATATTTATCAAATTAAATTATCAATAAAACAATATTTCAAAGAAACCGGTAGGAAAATTGTATAAAATAATTATCCAATTTAATCGGTAATTAAATGATACATATAAATTCATCGCCGCTTACCGGGTATTTTTTGAAGCCCAGCCGGAGGATCTGCATGGCGCGCTCCTTGTCGTTCTTCAGTTTGAGCTGGTAGCGCGCCTCCTTGACCAGGAAGAACTCCACCAGCCCGGCGTCCTCCGCGCTGATCTAGCTGTCGAAGGCGGCCATCACCTGCTCCGGGTCGCTCTGCATGCTCGATCTGAGGAATCCCCAGATGGCGCAGCGCCAAAATAAGCTTCTGCGGCAGCTGTTTCAGCCCGTTCTGCACCGCCAGCACCGCGTTATCCAGGCTGCATGCCTGTTCACACACATCGCGAATATCAAAATAAAAATCAATAAAAATATTTATTAATTTTTTTTGCAAATCAATATTAACCGAACTATAAAATTATAGATATGCAAGGAAGAGAAATAAATACGATCGGTATAAATTTAAATTAAACAAAAAGTATTAGAAATATAAAGCAATAAATACAAATTAATATCGAATAATTATTAAAATATACAGATTAAATCGGCAACAAATAAAAATAAACCCAGATTAAGGCTTACGCGATTATTATATAGAGATAACCATGACAAGTAGATGCTGGCGACGCGCGGCAAGAAGCGCTTGCACAACCCGCCCCCCACGGGCGGTAGCGAATATATTGCCAAGGCGGGCGATTCATTATGATACTCGTACTGACTTTGTCTGTTTTTTTTTATCGTTTAAAATTCACTCATTTTAATTAGTCTTAATCTGCGCAAGCGTATTGCTCTGTGTACTGGCTGCTGCCGAAATAAAAAGAATTATGGCTTTCTAGTTCTTGTGGAAAACCTCGTTCTCGACTGTTGCGAGAGCGGAATCGCTGGGAGGTACTAGGAACTAATCTGCACAGCGCCTCCTTCAGGGGTTTCGCCGAGAGGCGATCAGGTATATATTTACAGCGGATCCAAATTGACCCGCAAGTTGTCCATATATGCAAGTGCACCACAGCGGTGTTCTCCATGCCCGGGTGCGAATAGCCGGTGACGGACGTGATGAAAAGTGACATTCATTTGACCAATGTACTACCGGCCAATTTAAGGTCGCCGACTGGCGCAAAAACTTTTGTCGGCTGCTGCTGACGCCTGTCGGAAAGGTCACTGGCCGGATGGTGAACGACCAGGACGCGCGCGGCACTGTGCCCGGCGCCGGGGAGTCTAGCGGGACCGTCGGCAGCGTTACGGTTCCTGCTCGGCGTCGTCGGCGCTCCTTTATACAGATCGACGGGCCGGGCAGGTCAGCAGGACGACGAAATGGCCCTGGAAGCACGCACTGAACCAGGAACATCCGCGCGGCGCACGGTATGACGAAAGGGAAACTGGAAAGCGAGAACATGGTCGTAGTGCACGTGCACGCTAGCTCCTGGAAAGCCGGAGGAGTGGCGCAGATGGCGGAAGACTTCCAGCGGCGGAAATACGCCATCGTCGAAGATTTGGGATATCTTTTCTATCCTCTGGCCGTCGAGAGGTTTGGGACTTTTGGATTGCCTTTCGCCGAGCTAATTCGTTTTGTCGGCCGCAAGATCCGTGATATTACTGGAGAGCCTCGATCTACAGCCTTTTTGAGACAACGTTCAAGTCTAGCGGTAGTAAGAAGAAATGCAGCTGCTGTTCTGGGTACATTTAACGCACGTTCCAAACGCATGAATGACTCTGATGATTTTGGCTACACGAGGGAATGACGGTAGCGTATTTCTGCCATCATTGTACTGGCTGCCGTCAGCCGGCTGGAGTATAAGATTGTGGCTAAACATGGTGCCTATGTACCGCGCCAGATTCAGTCAAATGTATTGCCTCAACGTGATACTAGTACAGTGATGGCTGAAATGCGCTACCGTCATTCCCGCGTATTTGAACATGATGTCTCAATGTCGAGTTATGCGCTTATATTTGGTCAACTTTGATTACCTGGCCCAAAGCTGATTACCCTAGCCCGAAATTCACTGAATTTTGGACCAGAGTAATCAGCTTTGGTGTCGTATCTTAGACGACAAAAAAGGCTCCAAAAAATGGTGAAAGCTCCAAGGACACTCAGGCAAGCGTCCAAGTTGCTTTAATAAAAAATTCTACACAAGCACACTGTACAAGTGCAATGCATAACAAGGACACCTCTTCTACGTTATCAGCATCGGAAATTGTCCCCACCACACTTCACATATCCTTCTACAGCTTCCGTTAAACGGCGATAACATCCGCCCGCTGCTGCAGCTCCGTACATATTTGAACGTAATTATCGTATTAGGTAAAAATTACGTGTACGAGTACGGTATAAGTATGCTGTCGGCGCATATGTATGAACGTATATACGTGTATGTAAAAATCTATGGGCATTTGTGTATATATCTGTGTATATATCTACGCTATATGTATGTATATATCCACGTATATGTACGTATATGTATGTACATTAAATTTTAGGCTATCCGCGTGTAATGCACGGTCTAAGGTTTGGATGCATGTGTCAGTCCGTATTGCACTTACCCAACGGTCGCCACCGTAATGGCGCTGTGCCCGATTGCGGTCTGGCCGCCAACAATGGGTGATTCCGGATATTCTTTCTCGCATTGAAACGTCAATATGGCAGCGCAAAGTACCACGATGCCTAAGATTTGCAGGACAAATAGATAAAACGCTTCCTCGCCACTGCTCTTCATGTTGTTTTGGGGAATTATTGAAACTGAAATGCAAATACACTCCAGTTACGGAAAAGCTTATAATTCGATAATTACGGTAACGCCGATGCAAATCTGCAGCCGTTTGCATGCTTACACGTGATACAACTGATGTTTCTAGGTTTGATTTACTGTCAAGCAGTGTTTTTTTTACAACGCTTACGAATGATTGGGACTTACGAAAGGTGCGAAGCATACGGAGAACAACGATTATTACAAACAGATCGTACTGGCTGACCTCAGCGCCCCAGATTATTCTTGGGCAAGAACAGATGATAAAGACCTTCAGAACATAATAATATGCGTGAATATTCCGATACCTGCACAGTTGTAGCTATAATGTGAGAGTTGTCTACATACCGTATCCAAGAAAGAGGTGAAGCTCAACAAAAACGTTCCTATCTTGGGAGCTGCATATTTTTTAGCGCGTACTCCACAGTAAACACTGCCACGTATCTGTACACAGAATCCAGGGGAAAAAGACAGCGACTAAATCGGTCTGCACAGGAAATAGAATGCTGTTCGAGTGTGCCACAGACGCCCGCTTCGATTATGTGAACCACCAACGTCACTTTAAAAATACTGAATCCTTAGCGCAAAACTTTTTACAAGATGTCAGCGCGCAGACACATGTCAGACATATAAAGCGCAAAAAGAAACAAAACTTTTTTTATTTTATTCAATCGAACCTTGTTTCACACGTTACCTGCTATCAAGATGTTGGTAAAGAAATACCAGATCAGGCCCGTTTTCGACGATAGTAGGTTATCTAAACCCGACAGACAGATTCGGACCGACAGATGCAACGGCTTTCCTGTGCTGTTCTTATCTCCATCCGTTGGCTGGCTGGTCAGGCGTCGATTGCGATACCTCGCAATGAAGCAGTTGCAGAATAATTCCGCTGACAGTCCGTAGAACGACAACTCCTCATCAAAGGCTGTCATGCATACATCTTCGGGGAAATGCAAAAGCTCCGTCCGGTAATAGTTGAGTATGTGGCCGAAGAAGAGAGGACTGCGAGCGATAAAGTATTCGGGAAGGTTGGATTGGACAAGATTGCCCAGATATGTATCTGGATATTTCAATATAGTGCTCCGCAGGGTCTCAGATATTTTCCCGCTGACATTGAACGTAACTACGTCTGATTCCGGCATTTTGCGGGTGAATTAAAGCGGTTCACGGGTATGAAAGGTGCTGATGCTGCCTGCTGGTGCCTGATAATACAAGCGCAATTACTTTACATATTCTGGCTTCATCTGATGCAGCTGCAACTGCGTCTGTCGCCATGCTCTTAAAGTGCAGCACTATTAATCGTCATTGAGCACGCTCTAACTCAACTCCAGGCGGTCTTGTATAATTACCATTTCCGTACTAACCGTTGGATAATTAGGTTATCGGTTATCCTACAGTAAATCCATCTTCGCAGTTCGCACTAACAGCTAGCTGATATACTTCGGCGCTATTCTTGGTGACATACGACACCGTGAGACGTGATCGTCAACCTGTAAATGGCCTTTGTTTGGATGAGCCCACACAGGCCGCATGCATCCGCTGACCCAACGAACATGTCGGTGGCGCGCAAACACAATCGTTTCGTTCTCGATTTCCCCACAGCAAGTACATCCGCCAGCGGCGATGCCTGAAGTGCTCATGGAGACGTTTGGCATTTTCCAACGAAAACGGTGTTGTTTGTCAGCCTCGTCCCGAAAATCGATTTTATGGTTCTAACGGCAGGCTGTCGCATCTGCCAAACGCCAGTGCCGATCTCGGATCTGGTACACCATTAGAATAGCCAATCCCGCATCCGCATGCATGAAATCTTCTATATGGTCATTTCGCTGCTTTGCGGCCTTTAGACCATCATCAACCTCTTTTATTTTGAGGTGGATTTATTTTAGGGATTTATTAAGGAAGCGATGCCGATGGTCAGTAAATTAAACCATGCATGCGCATCCCGAGCCACAGAAGTAAACCATGTGAAACTGATACGCCCAGGTTAATTAATGTACTTGCTTAGTGCCATTTAATTGTCCTGGCGGCATTAATGACTAAATAATGAAGCTCCTTATGCAGCAGCGTAAGCATTTCTCAAATGAATTTGCACGTAGCGGTTGCGTTATACATAGTTGAGATGGTCTTTAAGTTTCAGTCCTCTCGCAGAAGCCCGCGGCAAAACATTGCTTGCACACGAACACAGGAACTGGTATGCATCGTGAAGCACTATTTAAATTAATTAATTTTCTTAGTAAGCATCTTATGCGGTCGACCGACAATGGGCGCGGTACCAACGAACTAAGTAGCCATCGATTTCGTATAAAATGTGTGTGAATACGTACATCGCACAAGAATATATTTGCAGACTAATGCTTATCTTCCCAGCAAACATTTTTACGCAATGGTTGTGCGCTATAAAGTGTGTCAGAACGCTGCCGGTGTGCAAGTAAAAGTGGTTTTGGGTTGCATGATGCGTCACCGCATCTTTTACAACATGATCCATCACACTGAAACTATAATAATAATTATCGTTTGGCAAGTACATAATAAAGCCGATTAACTGCTGTACATACTCCTACATATGCTTGCACATTTTCCGTTTAGATCTATTTCACCATATAAATCGTGAAACAAATAACGCCGGGGAATTTTGATTTTACGGCTCCCGCGAAACATTCTTAAATGACTGTTGTAAGTATACCGAGGTGCGGCGGTTGATTTTGTGGATAATATTAATTAATATCCAACGTAACCTCTGTAAATAACGCTACTTGTGTCGATTTTGAATGTGTTTTTGATGGTTTAGTTTTCGTAATTTTAGTAGTGTGTATTATATGTTCACCGGCGCCATACATATTGCTGCATGAGCACTGTACGAGGCTAATACCAAATAAAGTTATATGCTCAAGTGGGTCCGATAATTTCCATCGTAAAGGTACAGCCAGCGCAAAGTCTGCGCTAGAAACGATGGCCACTTTACTACGTTTATCGGATTGCCTAAACGCGCTTTGCAGTTAGATTGTTTTTAACTGCACTGACCGTTCCTAGCCACATTCCGCCAGGCGATTACGATTATTCTCATTAAACTATCTGGCGGCACCAAGCCAGCAGCCAGCCGAATGCATGTTACGTGTTTAAACAGTGTGGCGTGGCGCGCCGTTGAATGCAGTTTGGCGTAACCTGCGCAGTGCATTTCCCTGTTCTTTTGCGAAAGGAAATTACGGGACAAGCTTGCACTGTCCATAACACCTGGTACTGTATTTATCCATAGGTATTTGTCAAATCTCCGATACCATATTACGCGACAAATGTAAGCATTACATGTACCGCTCCCAATAACAGTACTAGTATCACTATATCAGCACTACTTACAACTAGTACCATTAACTATTACCACTAATTAACTATTCCGTTTAAGAAACAGTGAGCGGTGCAAATGCTATTTATTTTCTGTGCATTTTATTTTCAGTGAGTTTTTCCCGCCTTTTGCTACTGCTAACAATTGTATGCTAAAGGATACGCTCTACAGTCTACATCAATTGAACCTCTTCTGGATATGATTGTTTTCTGTAATAACAGCCAAGATACGGACAACCTAAGTCGTTAAGGCCTCGTCCCAAATTCAAAGCGAATCTCGTTGCGATACAGCAACTCCACCTCGCGAGGTGGCTTCGCGTACCGTATCTGTGAGGCGTGGCCACTGCATACAGCCATCTCGTGCGGTTGAGCAACCGTACCGGTACATAGCGAGATTCGCTTTGAATTCGGGACAAGGCCTAATTCTTAATGGTACCTCTCATTGTTCGTGTTTGGCGTGACACATCAAGGAAAACTAAAAAGTAGCCGAGAAACGCGACGAAAATGTACAGTTATCATGGACATGTGTATGATGGACAGGTGGAATGGACATGTATATAATAATTTTCCGCAAAACTGCGGATAAATGGCAAGAAAACAGACTACGAGCGGTACCACACATCTGCCGGTTCTGCAGACAGCACCAGGCACAAGATGACACTTTACTAACCTTTAAGAACATGCAGCGAGTTTGTTACATTTTAAACTGAGAACATGATGATATGAAAGTGACAATGTCTATTGTAGTCTCACTTTCAAGATGATTGTTGTTGGTCTCCGCATAACTGGCTCCAGTTTTATATATAATTGACAACCCCTGATGGTGAGTATATATGAGCGAAATTCATGATAAGACATCAGCCTGATCTTTCTGCTGGATCCGACCAAGCCTGTCGGGTCTTTTGCTAGGGAAAATAAGGTAGACCATTGCATTACCATGTTTTCAGCAAGGATTTAATAGCTGACCAGTAATTACCTTTTCACGGAGGCGATAGTAGTGGTCAGATGCCCGGCATGCGTTCAGATACAGCATTTGCAGGAATACCATCATAAGAAGCGCACCATTCAACGTGCAAGTACTAGTGATGATTTTTCCGGTGACACTCTTTGGTACCAAACCGCCGTATCTAAAAAAGGCCATGGTCTAATGAGAGCGTTTGGTTTTTTTTTTTGCTTTCTCGTGACACAGATACTGATCGTAACTCGAATTGCGCTAACGTTCTTAATGTACGTAAGTGAATACAGCTGGTACATATAGCGACAACGAGTAGCCCAATAATGCTACGTTTCAGAATCAGAAGTAACAAAGTGATTTCTTTTCTTTTTATCATTCAAAAATGTATCTCAATTCTCGATAGTCGTGCAGCTAGTGCTAGACCGGCTAGTCGAAGGGAAAAAATCCCGGCATTCCGTGAACAAGAAATTGTGTTTTGCTAATATTTTGCTAATAATATTTGAGTTTTGCTAATATTTTAGTACACCTGGTAGCCAGCCAAACGGAAATCTTTTGGCGAGGAAAATGCAAGAAAATACATGAAACTAATAATAAAAACATGAAACTAATAATAGATTCAAGCGTCACGCAAGTCTGAACAGCCTAATTCAGCGAAGCCTGGGTTCAGCAAAAGTTCCAACTATTCTAGAGCCACCTGGATTGTGCAGGTCAAATGGTAAGCGGCCGGACGGTTTATCACTTTTCCCCTGGAAGAACGGCCTCCCTGTGATCTGGGATGTAACAGTGTGCGACACGTTTGCTATGTCGTACATCGCCGGCTCAGCAGAAGTATCGGGATCGGCATCAGAGGATACAGACGAACGAAACCGGCGTAGTTATGAAGAACTCACCGACCGTTATTTTTTCCAACATCTGGCCTGCGAAATTGCGGGAATTTGGGCGTCAGTACTCGTCAGTTCATCAATGAAGTTGGTCGACGCATAAAAGAACAAACAAGAGAGGCGCGCGCTACCACGTTTTTGTGGCAGCGCATAAGTGTTGAAATTCAGCGTGGAAATGCCGCTTCGGTTCTTGGAACTGTTGGTTGTTCAAAAGAGCTAGAGGAGTTGTTTTATTTGTTCTAGCTTTTGGTTACTTGAGTCTAAGCTTTTAAAAGGCATTTGCTTGTACAAGTTTGAAATAAAATGTATCGTATTCAAATAATAAAAGTTTTGTTACGAACGGTTACGTACCCAACGGTCGCCATTATGATCGCGTTGTACCAGAATGCGGTCATGCCGCTAGTAATGGGGGTTTCAGCATGAGCTCTCTCGCAGTGATACATCATGACCGAAGCGGAAAGTGTCACAATCACTATGGTCAGCAGACATTGTCGGAACAATTTATCCTCGGAAGTGCTGCCCGGGATGTGTTGGGGAATTCTCCATACTGCAATGCAAATATACTCCAATCAAGAGGACTCTTATACATGCACTTCCATAACTACGGTAACGGCGATATAACTCTACAGCCGCTTTTCCATGCGTACAAGTGATATCACTGATGGTTTAAGCAAGCTCGGATTTATTGCGAATCAGTTTTTTTATGACAACGCTTTAGACTTACGACAGGCGCGAAGCATACGGAGAGCGATAATTATCACAAATAAATCGTATTGGTTGACTTCGGCGTTCCATATTATTCTCGGGCAAGAACGGATGATAAAAACCTGCGGAAGATAATAACTTTTGTGACTGTTTCAGTATTAGCTGTATGTACAGTTGTAGCTATAATTATGGGATTTGTCAACATCGTAACATACCGCATCGAAAAAAGAGGAGGAACTCAGCAGAAATGCGCCGGTCTTTGGCACTGCATATATTTTGAGCGCGTACTCCACAGTAAATGCTGCCAAGTACACAACATCAAGCGGGAAAACAAAACGGTGAAATCGCCGTGCACAGGAACTTGAATGCGGTTCGTGTGTGTCGCAGGTGCCCGCTTTGATTATGTGGACCCCCATCGTCACTGTGAAAACACGACGTGAAATCCGTGACGCAAATCATCTTAAAAATCATTTTCTGCGGGCACAAAAAACGGAAGTCATGTGAAGCGCAAAAAGCTAATCAAATTAGATCTTGTCATTTTTCTTTACCGAACCTTTTTATACAAGTTATACCTGCTATCAGGAGGTTCCTGAAGAAATACCAGCACTGACCAGTTTTTGAAGACAGCGGGTTATCCAGACTCCTCCGAATTCTGCCCGGCAGGTGGAACGGCCTCCCTGCATTGTTGTCCTCATCCAGTTTACTGCGGGGCTCGTTTTCGCGGTGTTTGTTGCGATACTTCGCCATGCAGCAAGGGCTGATTAATTCCGTTGTCAGTCCGTAGAACGCCAACTCCTCATCAAAGGCTGCGACGCATACATCTTCGGGAAAGTGCAACAGATTTGTACCGTAATAGTTGAGTATGTGGCCGAAAATGCGAGAACTGCGAGCCAGAAAATACTCGGGAAGGTTCGACTGAACGAGCTGGCCCAGATATGTATCTGGATGTTTCAGTAAAGTCTTCCGCTCGGTTTGAAATATGTGGCCGCTGACATTCAACGTAACTAAATCAGAATCCGGCATCTTACCGGTGGCCCAAAACGGGAATGAAAGGTTTTGCTAGCGCCGCACCGTTATAACCATAGATACTTGTACATATCTGTATACCGCGCGCTGCCTGTCGCCTTGCTGTTATGGTGCAGCGCTGTCCATCGTTATGTCCCGCACTAACCCAATTCCCGGCGGGCTTGTATAAGTGTCCTTCCCGTCCCCAAATAATCAGACTAATCAGGCTACAGTAAATCACTAACAGGTGATACTTTGATTTCCCTCTGCAACCGCGTATTGATGGCATGCGACACCGGGATACTTGATCGTCATCCTGTGGGTGGCCTTTATTTACAATATTAATAGGGCGCAGGCAGGCCGCGTTCATCCTCTGGTACAATTACAATAAACCTGTCGATGGCGAGCAAACACAATACGGTGCGAATACGGCCGGTAAAACCATGCGTGCGCTTCCAGTGGCACGGAAGCAAATCACACGAAACTTGAGAGGCCAGTTTAATTAGTGCCTTTACCTACTGTCATTGAAGTGTCTTGGTGGTATAAAAGGGTTGGATTTATACCGTCACTTATCGTCACTTATATCGCATAGCGCTGCTGTTATAAGGGAAGATAACCTCTATTCTTTAATCCGCCCGTCGAAGCCCGCGGGAGGCGGAGAACTATCTTTTCCAACCGGAAAGAGAGGAGACGTCGCGCTGCATAAAGCACAGGCCACTGATACGTACAGATATAGTGTGATACTATTCCAATTCAGTAGTTTTTTATCAGCCATTTTATGGGTGTGCACAAATACTCAGTCCATAAATGTAAAGCTGGATGGTCGACAATGACCGAAACGAACAATATGCAGTGATTTCGCATAAAATGGGCGTGAATTTATGGTAGATTGTTTATGGTAGAATTATGGTAGATTATTTGTGTTGATATTAATCTTTGGGCAGACATGCTTGCCCAACATTAGTTGTTGTCTAGTAAGCATAACATGTGCCAGAGGGTTGCCGCTGCTCTTTTAGCTGAGCAACCTTGTGTTGCCTGCAAAGCGCCATATAACAATGCAAAAAAAATTGTTTTGGAGTGCGAGAAAAAGAAAATTTTCCTGCATACAAGCCAATTTGGGGGCATGTACCGGGCCACTCCCTAAGTAATAATTTCCCGTGATACGATGCTTTTTTGATTCACTAACGACTTTAAAAGGACTATGATGAAGAGTCAGTCCTGAACAAGCGCTCTCACTCATAGTGGCATTTAAGGCGCGCAGTTCCTAACGATCTATCGAAGCTGTCCACTGCGAGCGCTTCTGTGTTAACGTTTGAAGCTTTTTTTTAAAAAATGCAAGTGGGAAATTTTTCGATTTGTTGGTCTTGTAAAATATTAATCTCAAGCAAATAAATATTCAATAATTTGGCTGGTACCGTATTTTGTACTTTTCCTCATTCAGATTTCAGTTTTACCGGCATCGATATGTGAACGGGATATGGAAAAGACCTTTTTTTAGAAACATAACACATGTAGCACCGTTTTTGAACGGGCTAAATGCAATAGCGTTAGCAGTTTCTTGATATCATGCTTTTCTCTATCGACAGTTTACGGGGAGACTGTATACGGCTTGGTGTAATGAAGACTTTTTTCACATTTCAGTTTACAGCGCACTCGTAAGATAATTAAGGGAAGTGGGCCGGTACATGGTACCAAATTCGTGTAAGTACATGCACGAAGACTTTTACTTTCGCGCACTCCCAAACACTTTTTTGTTTCGGTTTATGACATTCTGTAGCCAGAAGATTTGTATACACTGGCGAGAGAACCGTTTGTGCGCGCAACGTCCGCTTCGGGAGTTCTGGCTGTTAGAAAATTCCAAAAGGTTAAAATGCGTTCAGATGTACCAAAAGCTTTAATATGGACCGATCTCTCTCAAGTTTGCTCGTAAATGCACATAACCGTGAAGATCGTTTTTATACCGATCCAGACTTACATGGTTTTTTTCAAAGTTTAAAATGAATTTTAAATTTTTTGAAATTCATTTTAAAATTTGAAAAACATGCTAGAACATTGGATCGGTGTAAAAACGTTCTTCATGCATGTGTGCGTTTCCATGCAAAATTTGGAGAAGATCGGTTGATAAAGAGACTTTTAGTACACCTGAACGCATTTAAAATTTTTGGAATTTTTAACAGCCATAACTCCCGAAGCGGATGTTGTGCGCACAAACGGTTTTCACGCCTGTTTATACAAATGTTCTGGCTAGTACTAGTGCCCTGCAACGGAGTAGAAAACTCCGTCCAGTCCGATCCAAACTTAAAAAATTTTATCCGAACCCAGTCCGACTCCGAATTCTAAAAATCGTACTCCGACCAATCCGATCCGAAAATATTTTTGGCCAATCCGAACCCACTCCGATCCGATCCGAAAAATTTTCCAAAGGATATTAATTCTATTACACATCCGGACATCCTTATATTACAAAAAATTTTTAAATGCCATGTTGTCGGCAGTAAAAAGACTTCAAACTCACAAGTACGTACAATTTTCTTGTGCATAATAAAGGTTACGCTAGAGGATTTATATATATAAAATTTTTTTTAGGTAAATTTAAACTTTTTTAACACTACAGTGTTGAAAAAATTAGGGAAGCTAGTTAGCTATCGTCATTGTCGAAATCTTTATCAGATCTTTTTGTTGTATACGGTCCAGCAAACGGATCACCCACGTATTGGCCAGAGTCAAAAATAAGGAGAGAAAATTAAAGTGAGTGTTGTTTCTAAACGTCCGCAACTAAAATAAATGGTAGTTTCATGTGTTCTTTAGGTTTAGTTAAACGTATATATTATTACTACTATTGTTATTATTATTATTATTATCTAAATCACCAGTATTAATCCAATTACTAGTGCTGCAAATAAAAAGGGAAGCCGCTGCCTAGTTAAACTGACTGAGCCGCACAACACATGTAGTCCGTTTGACCGAAGCAGTTATACTAAAATTCCCTGATAAGACGATAACAAATAACCACATCATAACAATCGTCAAACACTCTAATATTAAAAAGTGTCAGGAAAATTAATAAAAGAAAGTGACAGACAATTAAGAACAGTCAACTAAACAAAAGCAGATACTTCGGTGTAAACTAATTTAGCGCAAATGGAAGCCTCGCGCGAAGCGCGAAGCTGACGAACTTTTTTGTTTTGAAGACGGGTGAAATTCAATAAAAATTAATTAATAATATTTATTTAATTTCGGATTATTCGGAGTCTTGACTGCATCCGAACCCGATCCGATCAGGTGCACAAAAACTCCGAAACCACTCCGACTCCGAATTTTCCAGATTGAAATCCGTCCAATCCGGTCCGAACATCGGAGTGGGTTCGGAGCGGATCGGATTTCCCAGTCCGTTGCAGGGCTCTACTGGCTACAGAACTTCATAAACCGCAACAAAAATGTGTTTGGGAGTGCGCGAAAGCGAAAGTTTTCGCGAAAGCGAAAGGAATTTTCGAAACCGGCTTAAGTTCAAACTCAAACACAAGTTCAAGTTGCAGCTTGAACTGAAACTTGAATTGTGGTTTGAACTTGTGCAAATATCACTTTTCGGAAATGACACCGTACGCGTACATGTACATGTTTAAAAAAATTACACAACGAAAATCAAACATAAACAAACAGGAGCGGAAAGATCTTTTAGTTTCAGCTCTGTTGAATTCTCTTCACGATGTTTCTGAATTTATCTTCGCTATTACTGCTCCGTCACCGGAAAGTAATTTCCGATAAAACGTTTATTTTACTGTATGTAGCCAAGAGATGCCGGGAGCGTGAATTACGATTGATGAAGATGCAGGATGACTGGGAAATAGAAAGCCAGTTTACCCTCGAAAATTTTACGGAATTCGAATGCTTTCGATTTTTTCGACTCAGAAAGGCTGATCTTAACAGATTAGCGGCAGCGCTACGCATCCCTAATGTTCTGCAGAAGCCATCAGGAGACAAGGTCAGCGGGATTGAGGGACTTTGTATCCTGCTCCGCCGTCTTTCGTATCCAAACCGCTGGATCGATTTGCGTCGGATATTTGGCCGCTCTGTTGCCAATTTGTGCAGAATTTTTTATATGGTGCTGGATCATATCGATCGATCGTTTCGTTGGCTACTGGAATCTTGGGATCAACAGTGGTTATCAGAAGAATCAATGGATGAGTTTGTTGATGCCATATCGAACAAAGGGGGAACCACGCCTGGTTGTTTTGCTTTTATAGACGGCACCGCACGGCCGATTTGTCGCCCGAAGCTGTTTCAGCGCGCTTGTTTTAGTGGTCATAAAAGATACCACTGTCTGAAGTGGCAGTCGATTGTGACACCAAATGGTAAGCGACCGGAATTCGGCTTACAGAGACTTTTGCAAATAAAAATGAAGTTGTTTCCAAAATTACGCTTGACATTCCTGTTTTTTTTACGCAGATTTGATGCGCTTAGTAAATTACCCGTTTGACATTAATATTACAGCATGAATTAATTAATCGCCAAAAAGTTATTGATCTGATACCGCAATCGCTGTCTACATTTTTTAGGTTTAATCTGCAACCTCTATGGTGGTGTCCGCGGGATCATGCATGACGCCAGAATGCTTCGGGAGAGCAAATTAATCAACCGGCTACGGAATCATTTTAATGCTTTCGTATCCGATGATTTTTGCATGTACGGCGACAGTGGATACGGAAAAACAGATTTTTTGGAAACGCCATATTCAAAAGCACAGTGTTTAGCAAATATTCAAAAAGAAATCGATAATCTAGCAATGTCTGCAGTGCGGATCGCTGTGGAATGGAACTTCAAAGATATCGCAAATAACTGGGCTTTCGTTGATTTTAAAAAACGAATGCGTTTGTTTCAAATTCCTGTCAACAAAATTTATCGTGTTGCTGTTATTTTGACGAACTGTAAGACTTGCTTAAAACCAAATCAGACCAGCCTGTATTTTAAAGTACCACCGCCGATGTTGGAAAATTATTTCCAGCTGCAATAAAAATAGCCGCATTTTAATTAACTATTTTTTCATGCAAGCTAACATAGCTTCCCATTTGCGTTCTTCAGCAGCAATTCGCAATCGGTCATTTTCTAATGCTTTCAGATCGACCTCTTTTTCCACCTGCAGTTCCATTTCTTTTAATTCTTTTTGCATCTGCAGTTCTTTATCTTTCATTTCTTTCTGCGCCTCGATTTCCTTTTCTTGCATTTCTTTTTCATTGTCAATTTCAATTTTACGGATGCGCGCGGTACTCTCTAACTCCATTTCGCGGATGCGCTGCGTCTTAACTGATTCCTGGGAAATGAGAGATACCACGGTTTCTGCTTCACTAAGTTTGGGGCTGGTCTTTCTTTTCTGCAGACGAGATGGAACCTTTTTGCCGTTCTCGTCATCTTCACGTTGCCTGTTAGTTACAAAAACTTGTAACATTAATGCTAGCATTGCTGGGCAACATTACAACAATACTTTAACCAACACTACAACCTACTTTTATGACAAACCGTAAAAAACAAATTTGACAAAAATATTAAATATCTATTAATTTTTGTTGAGCTTACAGTTATTCAATTCAGCAGGATCCATGGCACCCATAGCCACCAACTCTTCGTCCGTCACTTCAACCTGCTCTACGATGCCGACTTCTCCAGCAGCTTCGACAGCTTTGTTCGCTTCTTCCAGCTCGGTATCACGCTTACCCTGCTCTTGTTTCTTGAGGGCTGCTCGAGCCTCCCGTTGAGTTTCCCAGTCCAGTGCTGCAGCACTAACGTTGGTGAGAAGCTTTTCGATGTCACCATATTGCTCCTCAGTTCCGCTCTTAACAACATTTCGTACGTCTTCGCTGCGAAAGGCTTTGACCAAAATCTCGACGCGATTTTTACACGCAACGCCATCGAGCAGATTATCCCCACCAAACATCTGTAAAGGCAGACTATCATTGCTATGACACATACGTATAGTTGTACGCTAACTGCAACCCCGTACATTGCGTATTACATACCACGATATGTAGCACAATTTTATTCTCGTTTCTCAAAGAAGAAAAGTAACGCGAAGCTAACAAACAAACCTGATCGGGGATTTTATTCAGGTTCTCCGCGATCGTCTTCCATGCTTGTTCTTTGTTCCTTGCGAAATACGGGCTGATGGTGTTCACCTCATCGAGTAATAAAAGATGATGTTTGGCCTTAAACCGTCGTTGTGGTGCCATTATTTAAGGAACGAATAAATCAAAAAAAGGAGAAAGCGATCAGTTTTTCTTTATCGTTTGAAAGATATAAATAAAATGTAAAAAACTAGTGCAGTAGTGCTGTGTCATAACGCTAGCAAATATTCTGCATATCGGAGCGAAGCAGTGATTTTATGAAGCATGCCTGCGTCACCAGGCGGTTGGCTTGCATTTGGCGGCAACATAACTTAGAATTTGGTCCCGTCCGAAAACGGTTTTTATCTAGTAAACCACCGAGAACTAAACTTGAACTCAAGCAAAATAATTGTAGATGAATAGTTGAACTAATTATAATTTGCATAACTACAAGTTCTTGGACGAACCGTTGATACACTACAACGTGTCAAAAAGTACTCAAGTTTAAGGGCCTTTCAACTTGAACTTAAGTTTGAAAAACGTCATGCATACAAGTTCAACTTCATGAATACACAGGGTCTTGGCATACCCTCTACTACATTTTAGGCTTGAATTTGAATATGAGCATAAACTTGAAGCGTTTTCGAAAATTCACAAATGTTTGCAAAAATGCGGCAGTGTCGAAACAGTAAAGCAGTTGCAGAAAAAAAGTGAAAGAAGCACAGAAGAATCCAAATGTGAGAAGGTAAATTAACGCCGACCAGAATCATGAGGGATGCCGGCTGTTGTAAATAAGTACTGTATAAACTCACCCCACGGTGGTCCAAGTGATCCAGATGAAATATCTTGATCACGGCTGGCGCGCTGGGCGAAGCTGTTTCCTCCCCTTCGTTTTCGAAATGGTAGCTCACGACAGGAAATGCTGTCATTTTCGCGGCATTTTCGCGGTTCGCGGCATTCGCATGACAGAAAATGCCGCAAACATGACAGCATTTTTTGTCATGATTTATTATCGTGAACTTGACGGTACAAAGCGAGTTTCCCTGGACAATTGCAATCAGTAGAGTTAGTCCCAAATCCCAATTAACCCGAGATGAGACCGAGCAGAACACACTCATGGCATTACCGCGCATTATATCTAAACTTAAACGCTTAAACAGAAAACAGGTGGCGCGATTTTTGCCTGTTCTCAAAAATAAGTTCTTACCGATTTCCTTCCACAAAACAACTGCGGCATCGCTTTCCGCAACTCTTTGCCATCTGACACACAAATGGCGCTTTAAGATTTTAGCGCCAAGCCACAGAAATTCAGAAAGTCTGGTTATCCGGGGAAGTCGCCGAATAGAACTGCAAGTAATATCAATTTTGATTACCTGTCAAGTAAGCAAAAGGGATATTATTCGCAGGCCTTTTGCGCTGCTCTGCAAGATCAACAGCACAACTTTCAAACCTCCGAAGACACGGAAACGTTAACAATTCCTCCAGTTCAAACAAACAAAAATGTTGTAGAAAGCTGCTGTTACGAAAAACGACTCCCGATTGCTTACAGTGCTGTGTGAGATCTACAGCGCTTTTCGAGTATTTCGAGTTTTCAAAATGTTAAATGACATACGAAAAACTCGAAATACGCGAAAAACGGCAGGAATCGCAAATGTGGTCGGGGTAAATCCGATCCAGGTACACAGAGCGTAAACCGTACGCGGAGAACGTTGAAGAAATATGTTTGCGGACACTTCTGCTGCATGGCTTATTCATAGTATTTATACCCATCCAATTTCCATGTGTTGCTCCAAAACCCCAAAAACTTACGGCCTTATGGCACATCAGGAATTACACATCTGTGTGATGTGGACAATGCCTGCGAGCGATCATACATTCTCCACAATATGCAGTACTCATGCACTAGTCACTGCACTCGCTAACACAAATCCGGGCGGGCTCGTACAGGAATCATTTCCGCCCCAATGTAATAACCTTAATTTCCGGCATAAATCCCTCTTCACACAAGCAGGCTTCTTGATATGTTCAGCGCTAACTGGACATCCCTGTGCAGCTCCTTAAACTGGATGACCCACGACACCGTGAAATAGGACTGTCATCCTGCGAGTGACCTTATTTGGCAGTATTCAATCATGCGGTGCCCATCCGCCGAAACAATTAAGGTGTCGATGGCGCGCAAACTCAATCATTTCGCTCGCTAACTAGTTAGGGCGTCCGCGGCAGAGCCGTTTGCGCCAATGCATAGGAAGACTGGGCGCACGGTAATTTTGAGGCATGCATCAGAGGCATCGATCAGTAATTGCGACAGACTGACAGTCAGCCGTCAGACTGGCCTGTTTTCAAACGGCGGCAAAATCTGTTACGGTTTTGAGCTACTGCTTTACGAGTTACAGAGTATTGCGAAATAATATTCCACTGCGATATACGAGGGGATGTCAGTAGCGCACCTAGATAATCCCCTGGCTTGCTGCCGTCACCAGCCGGGAGTGTGACGTTACGGCAGTACATATGGCTAAATCAGGCGTAAGCGGTACATAAGCACCATGTTGAGCCACAACGACATGCTCCAGCCGACTGACGCCAGCCAGTACAGGGATTATCTTGATTAGCCACTGACATCCCTTCATATTCTTCCGAAACCTGATACCGTACTTATCGAATTTGGGGCACATCCACATCCGTGTTCGAAAAATAATGTCACCCCCTGAAATTACGACACCGGGGGTGCCGTTGTTAAATGTCAAGCCAAATAAAACCGCAAATCTGCTTTTTAAAACGTACGACTTTTACATACAGCTGAAGAGTGATCGCGAAGCCAAAGCCGACACAGGGAAATAAAAATGTGGTGGTCAATCCTGGCAAGTGGCAAGCAACTGGTTACAGTACAGCCTGTACCGATCTGTACCGGGATGCTGCATGGAATTGCTGTGCTTTGCATACTTCTATCCTTCTATGTATCGAGATCGTTTACATACAAAATAAACGTTAATGGGATTCGGCAGTACATATCATGTGTGGGTCGGCCAACTTCGCCTTTGCCGTCCATTTGCCTATGCCGCTTCAGTTTGCCGTTTCCAACTTTACCTTTACCGTTTCCAACTAGCGAAGGTATGCAGAATAGTGTGGAAAACCCTGAAACCGGAAACAAAAAAGTTTAGAAACGGCAATGTGCTAACGGTAATTCGTTTTTCAAACGGCAAAGGCTTTTACAGACGGCATTCTGAAACGGCAAATTGGAATGCTAACGGCTTTTCTGACGGCAAAGGCAAAGGTAAAGGTAAAGTTGAAAACGGCAAACTGAAACGGCAAAGGCGAAGTTGGCCGACCCTCATGTGTTGTGTATAATATAGGAAAAAGTTGGTGTCGTTGTCACTGTCGCAGAGTTTTCACACTGATATGGAATTCCCTTGTGGACTTTCACAGCGGTCGTGCAGGAGTACTTTTACTGGTGCACCGGCAGCGCTCTTGCCTGCGCAATAACTGCCAGGCTATAATTATTTTGTTTGGCGGATATTAGTGCCCAGAACACTGCTGTGAGACGAGGGCTCAGTAGCGTTCACGCCTGTGGCGCTAGGCGCTACGCCATGGATTACGGTCTGTGTTGTGTCTCGCTCTGATTGGCTTGTGTTTTGTTAGTGGGCGTGGCATAGCACGTGCTGCACGGTGTAGAATTGGCTCTACGATTTGCGATCGAGCTGCGCCGATCGATTATTGATTTTTCTGTTGTCGGAACTTTCAATATTATTAAAAGTTAGCAATTAGCGATGCGACGTCTTGTGTTTCCGCATAGCTCGCAATACATATCGCATTGCTCGCTCCACGGGATCTATTCCGTTTAGGTCGCCGTATCTGGATCACAGTTGGATCTAGCATTAGATGGTAGCAGAGCCGACAGCGGTTCTCTGATTTGAGTTGATTTGATCTGATTTGATTTAATTTGTGTCAGGCATATTTGGCCGGTCATCTGACGTGATATCCGTGACCAGTAAGGCACAGGTCTGTCCAACAGCAAAGCGCAACACCACAAGCGGTGCAAGTTCCTCATCGGATTTCCAGCTTTGGTTTTCGGTACGGTATCTTCAGCGAAGAACCGTGCTGTTTCCTTAGCTGTGCAAGAGTACAAGAGTTCAGTCGTCAGTGTTCCTCGGTGTAGAGTCTTCAGCGAAGACCTACACTGGTGTCACTGATACTCGGCAAGGCTTCAGCGAAGCCTAAGCCGTGGGCCATAAGCGGCGAAGCGCCAAAAGGGGTGCACGGATCAAGTAGATCAGACTCCTCCAAACTGGTAGTAGAGCACCACTACTGCTGCTACGGCAGTCAGCCGGCACAGTAGTCGACTAAAAGCGTGCGGCACAACCGCTACGGAGGCGGCAACGCGGGAACGGAGTGTGGAGAAGAATCTGGATCATTTGGATCATTTCCCCGCGGAACGGACGGTGAACAGGTAGAAAAACCGTTATTAATTACGGGATTGGCTAGTTGATAAAATTGGCAATTTCTATTGGTCCGTACTGAGCCGAGCATAGACGTAGGCGGAGTTTTGCACACGGCGCGCATGTCTGGCCGTTGACCGTGACGTCAGGCAGATATAAATTTTAAAAGGATTAACGTGATTGGTCAGTTATCTGAGCCGTGATTGGCCGAAATTTGAACTGAACGATTTGAGCTAGCTGACCAATAGGAACGTAGTAAACAAGGTAAACGGGGATTTTCCATTGAAACTGAGCAGTAACGGGAAATTTGATCTGAGATGAGATAACCGAATCGGGAAGTGACCTTTTGAGTTGAGTTGAATTGGAAAGTGACCTTTAAGACCAGAACGTGACCTTTGACTCTGAAAAGTGACCTTTACCGAAAAGTTGGAATTGACCAAATTGACCTATCTAAGTGACCTTTAAGATCTGAAAGTGACCAACAGTGACCTTTAACGAAGTTGAAATTGAGTTGATTAGTAGTACAGCGATATCAGCAGCTGTAGGATTTTGTCCGTAAACGTGTTCTGAACCGTAAAAGCGGTGTCGAAGTTTTGTCTGAAAAGTGACCTTTAGGGCAAAACTCTCGAACTTTCTATCGAAAAAGTGACCTTTAAACGAAACAGTCGAATTTTTCAATCAAAAAGTGACCTT